ACGGCACATGACAACAACAACAACAACTTGCTGGAAGTGAGGAGGACTTGAAATATTTACTGCAAAAGATCAAAGACTACAGCCTTTAATATGGATTCCATTTCAACATGAAGAAGACAAAAGCCCTCACTACTGGACCAATAAGCAACATCACAATAGATGGAAAAAAGACTGAAATTGTAAACTATTTCCCCTTACATGGCTTCGTAATCACCACCCTCGGTACCAGCAGTCAGGAGATCAAGAGACATACTGCACTGGGAAAATATGCTGTTAGGCACTTCTCCAAATTACTGAGCAGTAATGATGTCAATTTGAAGACATTATTGGTTCTGGCATAGTCTTTTCAAACACTTGCTATGCATCTGAGTGAATAAGGATGACAGAAGAAGAAATGATGCCTTTGAACTGTGGTGTTGGAGAAGAATAAAGAATATCCCATGGACTGCCAAAAGAATAAACAGGAACATATTGGAGCCAGAATGCTCCTTGGAGACAAACACAACAAGGCTTCATCTTGCATACTTTGTGCATGGTGCTAGGAGTGGTTGTTCCTTGGAGAGGGGCATCACACTTGGAAAGAAAGGAAGACCTTTGAATAGATGGATTGACACAGTGACTACAGTAATGGGCTCAAGTTTATAAGAAATGGTCTGGATGGCACAGGATAGGACAGTGTTCAAATCTGTCATCCACGGGGCCATATTTCACTCTAAGGCACCAAACACCAACTGATATAGGAAAGGTAAAGGTATTGGTACACTGAATTTACTAAATCTAGAACAGGGAAAGAAGCTTCTGGTTAGTTAGAGAACAGAAAAGAAACCCCATATGATTAATACTAATCAAATCCAAAACCCACCGCCATGAGTTCAGTTAGACTCATGGTGGCCCTCTATTGGGTCACCAAGGCTGTAAATCTTTACAGAAGACTGTCCATCTTTCTCTTGAGAAGTGGCTGCTGATTTGAACCACTGACTTTTCAGTTAGCAACCCGATATGTAACAGCACAGGCACTAAGGAGTTGACAATAAACAATCTACTTAATTGTCATTACAATCCACCAGGATAGAACTATTATTCTTCCCATTTTACAGGTGAAAAAGGAGATGAAACAAACAAAAAAAAGATGTGCTGAAGGTCACAAAGTAACAATATACAGTAGAGACAAGATTCATATCCGGTTTACCCAGCAACGGTACTCTGTGTCATCACATTATCCATGACTTCCAGTGTCCTGTTTTGTTCAATTCTCACAGCTGTCTTGAGATGGTGGTAGTAGTCGAGTCAGAAGCTTAAAGTTCATTCCAACTCATAGTGACCCCACATGACACACAGAACTTCTTCACTGGGTTTTCCAGCTATAATCTTTTATAAGGGTGCTCTGGTGCCCTGGTGGTGAGAAGCTGTGTTGCAATCTCAAAGGCTGCCAACTAAAAAGTCTGAGGTTCAAACCCACTATTCTCTCGTTTGGACAAAGATGTAGTCATCTACTTCCATAAAGATTACAGACTTGGAAACACTGTAGGAAAATTTACTCTGTCCTGAGGATGATATTAGTTGCTGTATGAACTTCCTGTTAAGTTTCTTTATAATAGGCTCTGTTTTCTCTGAATAGTAGGAAAGTTACCTGTCAAAATTAAGGATGGGTTAAGACACTAAACATTGAGAAAAGTATAGAAAAAATAAGACATACATAGATGAATTTACGACGAACCACAAATATAATGTCTTGAATTATTCTCACATAGACTGCAGTCAATAACCAAATTTAAGCACTATAATTTTTTAAATGTTTAAAAGTTTAAAACCACAAAAATCAGCTTACCTAGTATAATACATCACAGCCTCTTCATAGTCCCCTGAGTTGAAAGCTTCATTTCCTTTTTCTCTTTCACGAGTAGCAAGAAAATCCTTTTCCCTATCAGTTAGACCTAGAAATAAATTTATGTTATATGTGAAACTTTACTTTCACAGATTAACAGAAACATTCTGAAATATTTTCATGAATGCTTATTTTTAAAAGGTTGAACTGACACAAGTTGTATGAAAGGTTTATTGGCAATAACAACACAGTAGCTGCTCTGCCTGCTCATATAAAATCAAATACTCACAGGATTTAGTTCCTTGACTTAGAGGTTTAAGGTCATAGTTTCACAGAATATTCCAGTTAACTGACCTTATAACATGTTCAGAAACTACATCCACTCCTTAGTTATCAACATGGTTGGGTTTCAAAGAACATGTTGTTAATGGGAAAATCTGTTTTATGTGAAAATTCAGGATGACAGCATCAGATCACAAAACGGAGAATGACTACATCATTACATAACTGCAAAAGCTCTTAGAATCCTTGCCCAGCCAAAAGGACACATAACCTTAATCCTCATTCTCAGCTTACACTGCAGCATCTGTTACTGTGGAATATATGTTGTAAATGCACAAAATAGTCTTAGAGTAGATATTTTACTATTATTATAAATGCAAGATATCAGACAGCAAGACCTATTCCTAAGTGAGAAATAGGTATTCTAAATTTAAAGATAATTCTTTTAAAATAATTCACAGATTTTGAGAGTATAAATTTGTAATAATTGGTTTGTTTCAATTTGAAGATGTTATGTATTTAAGGACTTTAAATTAAAACAAATTTTCTTTTTGTTCAGAATTAAGGGGAAAAAATAGAGAGATTTGGAGGAAAATATTAAAGAGGAATGAAAAACAAATAATGGTAATAAATGAGACTTATATTATGTAGTGTTACTAAATTTAAGTATTGTGACTGTTATGTTTAAAATTAATATTTAAAAGATAAAACTGAATTTGTTGATTTTTATTAATTTCAGAGAGGAAAAAGTTTCAATAAAATTCTGGAGCAATTAAGGAAGATATCCACTAGGCCTGTATTTAAAAATGTTAACTGATTTGGGGATGGACATTCTTCAAAGTGGTACAGCAGTGATCTATTTGCTCTACTGAAGTAACCTGGGGTTGCTGTGATGCTCAACAATTCTGCCAAAGGTGCGTCAAACACCGTAACGGTTACCCATTGTGGGCAGTGTTTGGTGGAGCTTCCAGCTTTGGAAGCAGGAGTGGCTTTCACTTCCTACACCACATGCCTCTGGAAATTCTAAGAACATAGAGATACAATGAAATTTATAGAACAGGGTTCAGGACTTTTTTTCATAGAGTCACAATGAGTCGTACTGGACTTGACAGCACTTAACAACAACAACAACATCTGCTAGGTTGATAGCTACCATTATAAGCATTTTTTAAACTTTTAAATTATTCCTGCTCCCCACCTTCCCCCTTTCTCCCAATTACCTGCTGTGTCTATCCTTGTCTCAAGTTTAGATAAATGTGACTTGTTTATCACAGTGTTTTCTTTGTAATCTTCATCAATTTTTGAACATTCCTTTTCCACATCAAATCTTAATGAAAAAAATTAAAGCTGAAAAAGTATAATATAAGCAAGAAAATAGTTTATACTATATGTTCTTATATTTATAGTCCTGTTCCATGGAACTTAATATTTTAAAATACATAATAGCTCTGTATTAAAAGTCAGTCGTATTTTCTCCCAGAAAGCATGAAATATGGCAAGAATTTAAAAATTAAACTTGTCTACAAAAATTCATTCTATAAAAGAATCTTATCAGTAAGGGGAAAATGAGGAACACATTTTCAAATTATTATAGACTCTGGACTTTCTTAGACGAACTCTTGAAATTATTGCCCAAAAATAAGCATTAAAACTGAAACCAAAATATCTCTAAAAATTTTCTTTAAGCTAAACAAGTTGCTGTTGCTGTTACATGTTGTCGAGTCACCTATGACTCATAGCAACCCTATGTACAACAGCCCTAAACCCTGCCCTATCCTGTGCCAATCTCACTGTCTCTGACACACCCACCCCCATTACCCCAGTCACTTGAGGGTCTTCCTCTCCTCCGCTGTCCCTCCACCCTCCCAAGCATGACATCCCTTTCCAAGGATTGGTCCCTCCTTGCAACATGTCCAAAGTATGTCAGATGATGCTTCAGAATCCTTGCCTCCAAGGAGCAGCTTGGTGTCACCCTCTCCAGGATGAACCTGTTCATTCTCTTAGCAGTCTATGGTATATTCAATACTCTTCTCCAGCACCACAGCTCAAAGGCATCAATTCTCCTTCTATCATCCCTAGTCATTGTCCAGAGTCCATCCTCTAATGCATAGGATCATTAAATTACAAAAGAATGTCTCCCTTGAGTATTGTGGTCTTTTAAGAACTATCTACATGGGACTAAATGGGCAAGAGCATCTTAAAAGTTTAGATAATAAACTTGATGTGGTACATAGCATGTCGGCCGCTAAGTGAAAGGTCAGCAGTTTGAAACCACTCATTACTCTGAGGGAGAGAGATGGGCAGACTCCTCCCATTAAGATGTATAGTCTTTGAAACCTCATGGAGGATTAGCATGAGTTAGAATTGACTTGACAGCAGTGGGTTGTTGAATACTGTTCAGAATTTTGTAATTATAATTGTGATAAATCTCTTTTCAATGTTTTCTCTTTTTTATTTTAGATGGGTTTTGTTATTATTGCTGTTGAGTTAAAACCAACCCATAGCTGATCCTCCAGTGGGTTTTCAGAGGCAGTGAATCACATGGAAGGAGACTGACTATCCTTCCACAGAGCAGCTGGTGGACTTGATCTGCATGCCTGTGGGATTGTAGCGTAGCTTCTTACCATTAGGCCACCCGAGCTCCCCAAAGATGGTTTAGGGTTTTTTGTTATATACTTTTTGGTTGTTCTTATAAATTAAAGAATGCAGTAGCATTTGTTTGAATGCAAAAAAAAAAAACAAACAAAAAATAAAAATTGCTTAGACTAGGTACTTTTAATATTATGTTAAAATTATTTCATATTCTTGACTTTTTTGGTTTTTTTAATAACTATTCTAAAAGTTATTATAGGAATTTATGCTGGAAAATTTTTCAGTGACACATTTTATAGAAGAAATACAAAACTTACTTGTCCCATTCTGCATAATCCCTTGGAATGTTCTTTTTAGCTGATTTACTTTTAGAATACTTTTTCTGAAAGAAAAAAATCATACATTATGAGATATATTCTGAGACTAGCATGTTAAGGTAAACACAAAGTAGACTATTAAACTAAGACACAGAAATTGAATGACTAAGAAAAACAGATCTTTTTGGAAGTGTAACTATGTCAGTATTACCATTATTAACATCAAGCTATTCTCAAGAGAGATGGAAGGCATTTCTTTTGCAAACAGGAGCCAGACCAGGTTGACCTATATAGCCACTTCTATTCATACTGGAAGTCCTAGCCAGAGCAATAAGCAAGAAAACAAAATGAAAGACATCAAAATAGGCAAAGAAGAAGTAAATCTATCTTTATTTGAAGATGATATAATCCTATATAAAGAAAACCCCAAAGATCCACTAAATTATTGGATTTAATTGGTCAGTTTAGTAAAGTGGCAGGGAGGGTATAAGATCAATATACAAAAATCAGTCAGATCTCTCACAATAACAAAAAGAACTCTGAGAAAGAATCAAGGAAAACAATAGTATTTACAGTAGCCACCCAATAAGATACCCAACCAGAAACACAAAAGACCTTCACAAAGAAAACTACAAAACACTACTACAAGAAACCCAAGAGACCTACATGAATGGAAAAAATATGCCATGTTCTTAGAATGGAAGACTAACAGTGGGCATGGTTCAATGATGATTAATTTCATAAAACATAATGCATGGGAATGATTGTATGAAACACAATATGAATGAAGGATAATGTAATACACAATGTATATGAACTTTGTAAGCAAACTAATAATAATTTAAAAAGCTAGTGGCCTCGTGGCAAGAAGCTGAGCTGCAATCCCAAAGGTACGTGATTCGAGTCCACCAGCTGCTCTCTGGGAGGAGGATGGGCATTCTCCTCCTGTGCAATTAACTGCCTCTGAAAACCCACCAGACAGTCAATTATGGGTCGTTTCCAAGTCTATAGTAAACAATAACAAACAGGTACTGGATAATTTTCAAACTTATAGAAAAAGCAATTGCCAACTTCATATGGAAAGAAAAGTATTGATGATAAGCAAAGTGATACCGAAGAAGAAAATAAAAGTAGGCAGTCTCACACTTCCTGATTTAAACCTGCTCCTCTGCCACGGACAATCTCCTCCCATACCATTAACTACCTCTGAAAACTCACCAGAGGGTCAGCTATGGGTCAGTTCCAACTCTGTGGTACACAACAACAACAACCACCTCTGCCACAGTAAAACAGCTTTAGTACAGGTACAATGACCAATGGAATAAAACTGAGATGCCAGAAATAAATCTAAATACCTACAGACAACTAACCTTTGCCAAAAAGATGACATTTCTTAAGTAGGGACACGACAGTCTCTTTAACAAAGGGTGCTGGAAAAATTAGCTATATATCATCCATTTGTAGAAAATGGAAACAAGATCCATACTTAAAGAAACTAATTCAAGATGAATCAAAGAACTCAAACTAAAAACATAACACTTAGAAAAATCATTAAAGAGAAAATTGGGGCAAACTTAGGAGCTCTCAGTTATGACTTAACTATAAAATATAACCAATACACAATCAACAGAGGATAAATTAGGTGACTGGGATCTCCCCAAAATTAAATCCTTATATAAAGACTTCTCTAAAAGAGAAAATGAAAGATTCAAAGATAATATGAGAATAACAAGAATTGAAGGATAAGACTTAGGTAACTATCTTATTAAAAATAAATGGAATAACAGATAAAAGTAGGACAGAAGGAATGAAATAAGAAAGCCAAATGAAGGCCTGGGACTCCCAATGACAAGGAGACATGAACCTGGTTATCGAATACAGTATCAGAGAAGAAGAGACATGATAGGGAAAGATAAAAATAAAGTAAGGAAACTCAAGACGCAAGCATTAAAGGGAAAAAGCTGTTTCATTTTGGCCTCCAAAATATGTAATAATCCTACTTAAGAAGGTGACTGTACACGACCAACTGTAAAAAAAATCCCCAGCTCCTGGCGGACTTCATACCATCACACTTTAATTACTTTCATTAAACAGAGATAGATATCTGAAAAACACAATAATCATCAGTTTCTCCCCATACCACCCACACCACATGCCCGTAATGGTCTACCTGGCCAACAGGAAGACTGCTGTTTGAACTACGAACTGGAGGCAAATTATTTTCCATGGCAGGAAATGTTCCTGTTTCATGAAAGCACATTTTACTTTCCTCCTTTTGAATTTCTGAGACCCAGCTCTAAAACAAGAAAGAAAAAAAGGGTACAAAGGAAATTGCAATCCTAAATCTTTCAATCAAATTTATATATAAATTAGAACAGCGAGGCATGGTTCATATCAAATGTCATTTAGTCATATGTTTGTCTTATAGTGCACCTTTGACATTGCACTTGTCTGTCAGTTTGCTGTACTGTAGTGGCTTAATGTGTTGCTGTAATACCACCAGTACTTCAAATACCAGCAGGGTCACCTATGGTGGACAGGTTTCAGTGGAGCTTCCTGAAACTCTGTGGACAACAAGAGAACATTGCTTGATACAGTGCTAGAAGATGAGGCTCTCAGGTTGGAATATACTCAAAATGTGACTGGGGAAAAGCTGCCTCACCAAAGTAAAGTCCATAGTAATGACGCAGATAGAAAAAAAGCTTCCATCAGACCTTCATTTGCTGAGATGGCAAGATTCAAAATGAAGAGACTCTGCTACAAACATCATTAGTAATTGGAATATGGAACGTGAGAAGTATGAATTAAGGAATATTGGAAATCATAAAAAATGAAAGCAAACACATGAAGATCAACATTTTTTGAGCTGAGATGGGCTCATATTGGCCATTTTGACTTAGACAATCACATATTCTACTATGTGTGGAATGACAACTTAAAGAGGAATGGCCGGGCATTTATTCAAAGAGAATGTCAAGATCTATCCTGAATTACAATGCTGTGAGTGACAGGATACTATCCACATGCATATAAGAGAGTTCTGTTAATACAACCATTATGCAAATAGAAGCACCAATCACTAAAGCCAAAGATGAGGACTTCTACAAATTTTTGCAGTCTGAAACTGACTGAACATGCAGCCAAGATGCATTGGTAATAACTGGTGACTAGAATGCAAAATTTGGAAACAAAGAAGAAGAACTGGTAGTTGGAAAATATGGCCTTGGTTAAAGAATGAATGATAGGATTCTGTACAATGACTGATTTCTTCATTGCAAATTCTTTTTTTATATTAAAAAAAAACCCATAAGTAGTGATAACATACATAAAATTCACCTGATGGACTACTACATCTGTGGCTTAAAGCTTGAGATCAGCAGTCAAAACAAGGCCAGCGACTGACTGTGCATCAATTACTCATATATCAGTTGAATTAAAAATTAAAAGAAGTTCATGAGAACCGAAATAGAATCTTCAGTATATCCTAAGCAAAGATAAAAAACATCTTAAGAATAGATTTTATGCACTGAACACTAATGATCGAAGACCAGACCAGCTGTGGGATCGCATCAAAGATATCATCCATGAAAAATGCAGAGGTCATGACAAAGACAAGAAGGAAAAGACCAAAATGAATGTAAGAAGAGAAACTTGAAAAAAAAATAAAAAGAAGAGAAACTTGCATTGAACAAAAAGAGGCCATAACAAAGGGAAAGTAAATTGAGGTTAGAGTTAGAAGATTACAAAGGACAGCTCAAGCAGATAAAACAAAGTTTTATAAGGAAATGTGCAAGAAGCTGTAGTTAGAAAACCAAAAGGGAAGGACATGTCTAGCATTTCTCAAGCTGAAAAAAACTGAGGAATAAATTTTTAAGAGAATATACTTTTAAGCCTCAAGTTGCAAAACTGAAGGATTCTGGGCAGGGAGAAAAGTGCAACAATGAATGAATGGAAACCCAGAATCTCTGTAAATGTTCATTAAAATTATTACAATTTTAAAAAATATTTAGATCGGAAGGGAATCTCTGGAAACTGGTACAAAATAAATATCTTTACAGCCAAGAGCAAAGATCTGGGGTCTTTCTACTCCCCTTCTGTATTGATCAGTTAAGCTAAGCTTTGATCTTGCAGTGATTAAGTGCAGGTCGATTAACTGAAAGGTTGGCACTGTGAGCCCACCAAAGCACTCCAGAGGAAAAAGAGGAAGTGATTTTCTTCAGTAAAGATTTACAACCTTGAAAAACAAAACCTGAAGGATTCCCTGGGTAAAATCTTGAATGATGCAGGAAGCATCAAAAGAAGATCGAAGGGATGCACAGAATTTGTAACAAAAAGAATTGGTTGACACGGAACCATTTCAAAAAGTAGAACAGGAACAAGAGTCAGTGGTGCTAAAGGAAGAAGTTCAAGCACTGAAGACATTGGCAATAAATAAAGCCCCAGGAGTTGATGGAATACCAAATGAGGTGTTTCAGGAAGCAGATGCAATGATGGACATCCTAATCAGTCTCTGCCAACAACTATGGAAGACAGCTCCCTAGGCAACTGATTGGAAGAGATCCATTTGTTCCCATTCTCAAGAAGGGTGATTCAACACACTACAACAATTAAGAACAATATTATTAATATCACATGCAAGTACAATCATGCTGAAAATTATTAAAAAACAATTGGAACAATACATCAACAGGGGACTTCTAGAAATTCAAGCTGGATTCAGAAGAGGCCATGGAAAGAGGGATAACATTACTGTTGTCAGATAGATCTTGGTTGAAAGTTTCTTGGCAATAATCTTCTGTTTGGCTCTCGGACTTCAGTTTTCTTTTCCCTTGTTATGATTTCTTTTTTATCCAATGCAAGTTTCAGAGTCTCTTCTGACATCCATTTTGTTCTTTTCATTCTTCCTTATCTTTGAATAATAGGATTATTTCTACTTGTGTTTTATTGATCATGCAAGTACGTTTAATTGTGAATCATAACAAAGTATTGCTAATCCAAGCACAAAAATAATGTTCTTGTAAAACCTATGCATAGACCAAGAAGCAGCTGTCTCATAGAACAAGGAATACTGCATGGTTTAAAATCAGGAAAGGTGTGCATCAGGGTTGTATCCTTTCCCTGTACCTATTTAATCTGTACACTGAGCAAATTATTTGAGAAGCTGAACTCTATGAAGAATGTGGCACCACAATCGGAGGAAGACTCATCAACAATTTGCATTATGCAGATGACATGACCTAGCTTGCAGAAAATGAAAAAGACTTGAAGCACATACTCGGGAAGATCAAAGACTACCTGGGTTACATCTCAACATCAAGAAAACAAAAATCCTCACCACTGGACCAATACACAAATAGTAGTATGACAGGTGGAGAAAAGACTGAAGTTGTCAGTGATTTTAATTTACTTGATCCACAATCAACACTCATGGTAATAACAGTCAAGAAATCAAAAAGCCTCACGGATCTCTCAAAAATTCTAAAGATCAAGGATGTCAATTTAAAGACTAATGTTCACTGGATCCAAGCCATAGTTTTTCAGTTACTTCTTATGTATCTGGAAGTTAGACAATTAAAAGGATGCCAAAATAAGAATCTTTGCCTTTGAATTGTGCTGTTGGCAAAGAGTTATCGACATACTAGACCAAAAGAACAAACAAATGTGTCTTGAAGGAAGTACAACCAGAGTGATTCCCAGTGACAGGGTCAGTGAAACTTCATCTGACTGACTTAGTCCTTGGAGAGATACATCATGTTCTTTACTAAGAGAGGAAGACTCTCAACAGGATGGATTGACACAGTGACTATTGCAATGGGCTTGAGCAGGACAGACATCATGGGGACGCCACAGAATAGGGCAAGATTCAGATTGGTGCCTCACAGGGGCACTAAGAGTTATAGCTGACTTGATGATACTAAATAACACTAAAAACATCTACTCCCTGGGAGTAGCTCCATTGGCATAGTGGTTAAAGTGTGGGGCTGACTAAATAGTAGGTTCTTGGATCACCAGTTACTTTGCAGAAAAAAAAAACAAAAAACCCAAAATGTGCCATCAGTTTTCATGAAGATGAACTTACTCCCTAAGGAGTAAGTTCACTGAGCAGAGAGCAAAACTTCTCCACTTCTTCAGCTCAAGGTTCTGCCTCAAGAGCCCAAACAAAATAGCTGGGATTTTAGACTGAATTCAGAGTTCCCCAGGCAATCCACAGACTGTGAAAAAAAAGTATGAAGTCGCTCTCTTATCTGTACAGATTGGATTTGTCACAAATTTACCAAGTCAAGAATTCCAGATAAAGTATTTCAGCCTTCACCTGAAGAGCATGAAAAGTATGCTGGAGGTCCACAAAATCCTCATCAACTACATGTTGCTACCAGGATAAAAAGTGCCAAAAGGTGTCCATATTGGGGAAAAAATATAATAAAGATGGTTGGATTAGAAAAATACATATTCCTCAAGTTCCTAAGAATATCCCTTCAGTGAATGAAAAACTGAAACTGGTTCAACATAAGCCACTGAAGTTGCCACAAGGACTTTCCACAGAAGAGAATAAGACTGATATCTGCCTCAAGAACACTGGGGAATTAGTTATATATTGGACTAGAAAACCTTTGGAGAAGGAATTAATTACATCCCAATGCCAGTGTAATTTTAAACTTAAAAATTGCAAATCATTTTTATTTAGAAATAATGAAAAAACCTTATCATTAAAATATACTTTAAAGTAAAAAAAAAAAAATAAATAAATCCCAGCTTTAGAAACCCTATGCACAGTCCTGCTTTGCTGTACGGAGTCATAGAGAGTGGAATCAATTCAATGGCCATGGAGGGGTTCTCTGTTCAGGAGGCAGAAGGATGAAAAGACACCTTAAGGAGAAAAAAAAACACAATGCAGAGATAAAGATAAAGGGAAGAAGAGAAAAAGAAAACCAGAAGTGAGAAAGAAATGGCAAAGAAAATGTGAAAAAGGAAGTAACTTAGTAAGTGACAGGAAAGTTACACAATGGTGGAGGGAGGGAAGTAAAGGTTCATTGAGCCTGTGGGTGGGTGTTATTGGAAAAGTCTGTGGCTTGAACCCACCAGCTACCCCACAGGAAGAAGTGGCTGTGTGCGTCCACAAAGGTTTTCTCTTAGGGAGGCTGTAAGTCAGAATCAGTTCAATAGCAACAGGTTTAATTACCAGGAAGTTTACTGACAGACATGAAGCCTATGGTTTCAGATAAGTGAAGTGGACACAAGTATGTCACTAGAATACTTACTTAAAAAATTTAAAAGGGGGGGTTGCATACCAATGAAAGAATTTTTCTTTTACTTTTCAAAGAGAAGAGCAAACTGGGGGGGTGGGGTGGGCAGGGGGGCAGGGAGAAAAACGCAACAATGAATGAATGGGGGAAGAAATTTAAATTACATTACCTTTATATCATCATCAATTTTCCCCCATTCTTCTGCTGTAAAACTCAATGCTGTTGCTGCAGGCTTATCTTTCCTCAAGGCTCTACTTTGAGGAGCTAAGCATTTAAGGCGCTCTTCACAAAATTCTGTAAGTTCAGGATAATATCCTTCTTCACCAGACCTTAAAAAAAATTAAAATTGCAGTTTTAGAATTAGAGTTGTATCAATTGTCTTCAAGTTTGGTTCCACGGAGTCAGGGGCAGAGGGGAGTTGTTCTGGGGAGGTGTCTGGGGCTGTCCTTGCACAAAGCTAAAGGCTGGTTTGTTGATGGCCCATCCACCCTCTCCAACTAGTGCATCCTCCACTTCCACTTGAGGATGAAGATATGCATTGAAGGGGCGGGGGGGG